ACAGTTTTACGCGACACCGAGCTTTCTCTGCATCGAAATTAAAAAAATGCTTAAAATACATTTTTTTTCTCATAATCGGTATTTTATTTTTTTTAGTTTTTTCCTTTCAAACCACAAAAATTAATATTAATAAATTATAAAAATCTAGGTACTCCGGCCCCTAACAAGGTCTGGGTACCTGGTTGGAGACCCTCGTTATTCTAAGGTGTTTGTCACCGGGCGCTCATTCCGTAGAATTGGGATTAAGGCGTAACATGGTATTCAAATCTGGGCTCAAGCTAAACCATCTAAGACCCATACAAGATTTCCAGTATATATGTCTTAGACAAATAACTAGAGTTCCATGGTATATGACTAACGACGCACTACATAAGAATCTACAAATCCCAACAATCAATGAAATAGCAATCCGACATTACAAAAATATCCACTCAAAATTCCATTCAAACCAAAACCCTCTTATTTCCCTTGTGTCATCTATATTATAGAGTCTATAACCATTCCCAGCAACCCATCAAAGAGATTAAAAATAAAATGGCCAATTGACGCCCTTGCCTAACAAAAACTTCAGATAATTACATTTTTTTATTTCAAATTTCATAATATACTCCGGTATAAACTCAAAATTTGAATGAATGTATGCTAAATTACCTACCATTCATATTATAGTTTTAAATGTCAAATAAAATGTAATACAAGAGTACTTAGTAAGAAATCTCATTATGAATGTATTTATTTTTTAATTTATGAATTTCCAAAATTAATCATCATAAATTAAAAATATACTCTAAAAAATTGTGAAATTAAAAAATATGCTCTAAGATCTAAAAACCGCTGAATATACCAAAATAAGCACTATTAATATTTGATATTTTTTCGTAGTGTCATGGAATGAATTTCTAGCTTACCTAGTAATAAATCTAATAGTCCAAAAAAAAAAAAAAAAATGCAAATGCAACAACTTACGAGCCCTAATTACAAATATTCATAGTAAGGTATCTATGGTTCTTTATTCCAGGGTAATAATACATATTTCAAGACAGTAGAAAAATAAGCGTTATTTATATCTTGAATACATAATAGTATAATGAAAATAGCATTACAAATTGGTATTTATGGTTACTTACTACGTTTGATCGATGGCCATTGTTCAAGTTCAAAACGAACATCTTCGAAATCAATGTTCAAGTAGGACAGCAAGAATCTAATAGGTTCGCCCAATCCAGTTACGTTGAAGTATGTTAGTTTATACGATGACATGATGATATATTGTTTACTGTAATATAAAAGTGATTATTATTTGAATAGAATGACTAGATGAGAATACATACTCGTATTATGTTTATAAAGAGCACATTTTACAAATTAATCGATACTAATATATGGATACTGTAAACTATTGATGTAAAAACTAAAGATTAGATTTTAATGATTTACCAGAAATTGTATTAAAACCCAATAAAAATAATTCTCTTGTTATTGATGTTAAATGTAATAAATAATTATAATGGAAACAATAGTTTTAGGGAAATAATTAAAACGGAAATTCCACGAATAATTTTATTGGACTCAGGATAGTAATAATAATCAAATTAAGAGGCTACGATAAACTTTTGAACATTATCGCGTCACATAATAATAATATTTATAAATATATCATAAACAAAATATTAATATTTTATTTTTTTTAATACACAACCATTTTTTTTTTATGAACTGTAAAACAGAACGTAAACGATCTCGTTGACAACGGAACGTATGGCAGCGGCGTACTATGTGCGGAATAATAAAAATTACTCATTGATCGTTTAGTCAGTTTTTTATTAATATTTTATCGATATTTGACATTTACTTACTGTAATATGGTTACTACGAAAACGAAAACAGTTGAATATTGAGGTTGCAGTCCACGTGTGACGGAGTACCTACGTATATACAATTATGCTAAATAAACTGATATTGTCAAATATATTTGGTATATCCATACTGCTGTTATTTCGCGGTGAAAATTTTTTCCCGTTCGTGACTTAAGGTCAAAAAATTATAGATTATAAATAAAAAACCGCGATTTTTTCATGTGGACTATAACTTAATAGGGTTAGATAGAACGATAACTATGGCGTCATATTCCTTTGATTCTGAATGACATGCGATTTGACTAACTTTATTTGTTAAGATTTTAAATTATTTATAAAAAATGTTAACTAATTAATTTTTAAATTTGTAAATCGTTTTCGATTAAATAATACTAGTTATCTGATAACGTGTCATCGACTAGATGTTGCCACATATTTGAATGATGTTTTGTAACATACTTACATAACGCACAAAAAAAAACAAAGTTTTTCAAGCAAATCCACTTCTTATGTTGTAATAAATTATTATTAAATTATATTTATTTACGAAAAAAATTAACGTGACCGGTGTTACAAAGGGCAAAACTCCTCACCTATGTATGACATATATAAGTATAGTCGGTAATTATTAAGTAATATTGGTATTGTATAATTTTGTTTTAGTAAGAAGCGGCAATGTTTTATGTTTAAAACCCCCTTCCATTAATATTTGTTAGATAAAACTTATATTTAGATATTTAGTTGAAAAATTCTCAATTTTTTATACGTGGTATATTCATCAAATTAATTTAAAAAATCGCTGTTTTATTAATTTTAAATAATTCGTAACAATTTAAAATTATTTACGGATATAAATTAATTTTAAGTTCAAATGTATCCATAGAAAAATTTATCAAGTATGTTTTTTTTTCATCTTAAGCTGCATCCAGACCAAAGCAACATTGTGGACAACTTTGTTGTCAACAGTTTTTGATAATTGTTTCCTACAAAGTGTTCAATAATAAGTAAAAACTTATAAGTCCAGACCAAAGAAACATTATTGACCAAATTTTAGTGTTTAGCAAGATGTTCAGCCAGGAAGAAGTAGTGGTTGCAGCAGTTTGCACAATTATTTTAAGTTCTATTAAAAAAAGAAATTTTGGGTTCATCCTAGCCTCCAGTGTAAATAAACTATTAATAAAACAAATATGCTGAATGATCTTAACCATAATGATATGAATCTATTATCTGACGAACTAAGGTAAATAAATAGTTACATGTTTTCTAGACAATTATTACCATATTTGGTTGTATACTCAGTTCATCTTTATAATTCGCTACATATTATGCTAATAATTGATAATACCATGAAATGTTGTCAATAAAACCAGCAGAAAAAATTTAAAAACATTTTTGTCAATAATATTTCTTAACATTCTATGATCTTTACCGCCTCCTATGTGGAAATAAAATGTTGTTGCTAACTTTGTTGAAAACACAAAAGTTTACAATTTTTAAAGAAATGTTTAAAAAATTTTGTAGCCAAAAATGTGGAAATTGTGTCTTGCCCACAATGTTGTTTTGGTTTGGACACAGCTTTAAATAAACAATATATTAATATAACAAAATGTATGTGGATTATAAGAGCGAAATGTAAAGGCAAATGTAATGCATTATTTATACAAAATAATTTATATTTTTGTCGATATATTTCCCAGAGTCTTACGAATTCATAACTTTTCAGTTCCTTACGTACGGTCAGATTAGAGATGAAAATTTTCAGTCGTTTGAATAATTTGAATTATTTGAATCTGGACAGTCTAGTTAGGTTAGGTTAGATTCGATCGAATGATTTGGTCATTTTAGTAATTTTGATCAGTCATCTAATACAGTAGAAACTCGATCAACCTTCACTATCGATACCGGGACTATGGCTGTTAACAGACATTTTACAATTTAAATTTTGTAATAAACATATATTTTTTACAACGTGTGTATTTTCCGAAAAAAAATAATACACACATATACTACTTATTAAATACCATACTACTATACTACTAAATTAAATCTAACAATTTTAAACAAAATAATCTGTGATTTTCTTTTGTTTTTTTGACGCTCGAGCTTTTTCAGCTGCAACATTTCGTATTTTATGTAAGAGTTACTCGTCAATCACTGATTAAATTTAATTAAAAATAATTCAATTTGTTTGTTCACGGCACGTTTATTTCATATGTTGGATATTAGAAAAAAATTGTACACACTTGATAATCGCCGCAACGAGTTAATCTCAATTGTCTCATTCATTTGTCTTTGGTATCGTTATGTAACGTCCTGCCATTGATGTTGAGTGAGCGCCAGGCTCACCTAGTTGTTTTTTTATCATTATTTATTATTTAACTAGCATATATGATTGAAACCAACACCAAATTATTTATATTTAACGATAGCAATGTCGGATAACTGAGAGACGGTCGATCGAGTTTCTACTGTATAGTTGTTATCGTTGGGCCAATCGATTTTCTTTTGACTCGGTAACAACATGGTATAACGACACAAAAATATTATATGTATAAAAATAATATGTATGATATTCAACAATTTCTCCCTAAAAAAACAAAAAAAATTCGGGGTTACGACATTATCTATTTTGTTTTGTTTCCGTTTTATACAATTTTAAAGTTTATATTACTAAAAGTAAAACTAAAAAAATTAAAATACCACATTACTGTTGTGTCCGTGTGCCTCATACAGCGTCAAATACACATTTTATAGTCCTCAAAACTCTTGAACATAGGCTATTTTGGAAAGAGGCATTAGGAATTAAACTATATTAGTATTACTAATATATACTATCTATAAAAAATATTTGTTACTTTCCCGCTTTCAATAAAATTATCCGTTGTATAGTACAAGCGTGCGAGTTGTGTCAGAAGTGTAAATCAAAGACCACCTGCATTGCGGGTACTATGCAATCTATTCTCTCTTCTCAACCTTTCGATAAATTGTTAGTGGACTTCTACGGTCCTCTTCCCACTGGTATTTTTCAATTTTCATACATCTTTGTAATTGTTGATAACTTCACCCGCTTCGTCAAATTATATCCTCTCCAGTTTGCCAATGCTAAAATATGTATTAAAAAATTAACAACAGATTATTTCCCAAATTATGGTGTAACAAAAAATATCGTCTCCGACCATGGTCGACAATTTGTAAGTAAATATTGGCAAACCTCTCTTAAAAAATATAATATTCAAGTGTCTCACACCAGTATTTATCACCCTCAATCTAACCCAGCAGAACGTGTCATGAGAAAGTTACGTAGAATGTTTCAAACATATTATTACCAGGAACATTCATTATGGCCCCAATATGTTCTATACATCGAGTGGACGCTCAACAACGTACGTCATGAGTCTACACACCAAACCCCCTCAGCACTATTCTTACAAAATTCTCAACATAATCCTCTCATTCAATTCATACATTTCCCCGACAATTTATCTTTCGATCACAATAACAATTAATATTAGCCCAAGAAGTCCAACTATCAAAATCTGAATCCCGTAAAAAACGTCAACAAGAACATCTCAATCTCACCTTTTTCAAAATTGGCGATATTGTATTAGTCCGAACCCATAAACTTAGTAATCCAATAAACAAAAAATTTTTTAAATTTTTCCTGTTATATGATGGCCCCTTTAAAATAAAAAGTTTAAAAACCGTGAATGTATATGAATTGGTCCGCCCTGATAATAATACACCCAAAGATACCTACAATGTAATACATCTGAAGCCGTATATACCACCTACCACGTAAACACTCCCGTGGTGATCTTCTCCTCCAGTATTTAAAATTTAAAATACATTTGTAATAAGCACCAATGGTGACCATGTCTTGAATTTCCGGACTTCATATTAAATGGGGGGTTGTACGTGGAGTGTTTCTGCCTGATCCGGGGCCCCTAACGTACGCGAGACTCCGCTCAAAATCACAAGAACTGCACAGTCTATTATAAGTATAATCTAGAAGGCCCAGGTCATTAAATTCGTAACTCCCCATGTTGTCCCCCCTGTTTTCCCTTTAAACTGCCCTTTTTTCTGTCTCGTATCTTCTTTAAATTCGGTGTGACCCCGTTTCGGACACAGATAAAGCTAGTGCACTTCTCTCTGTCTCCCCGTTAAGTTATTATATTATTATTGGTAGGTCTTTTTACTATATTACACTTTTTTTTTAATATTTAAATATTATCCAGTGTCTCTCGCACCAACGTGCTGTTTAAAATTATAATTTTTTTTATGTTGTTACTTTATAATTACATTACCATGTTTTTTTTTTTTTATTTAATCTCGACTTAAAAAATTTGTTTTCTCTATCTTCTTTTCCAAAACTTAAATTATATTTTTTTTTCTGTGTCATTATCTAAAATTGCTATGTAGGATTATCCTTAGTTATTCAAGTTTAATTACTCAAAATAAAAAAATAAAAATAAAATAGTAGATCACTCAAAATTCAGCTTCTTTTCTATTACAACAAGTGGTTTTCTGTTCCAATTGATGTTGCACCTTCAATAACTTGTTGAGGTTATATAAATTCACGGAAATTTGAGGCTATTTTATTAAGATAATAATTATTATCATACACGCGCAAATCCGATTACAATATGCAAAACAATATTGTTATGCAATACCGTTTCCCCGACCCACCACACAAGCGGTGTCCATCGCGCCGGTATCGTAGCTGGTTGCCCGTCGTCGCCGTTGCGTGCCGTTGTCGCGGCTGCCGGCGCGTGCCGACAGGGAAACCTGTTCCCCAATTTGTAAATTTAATGTAAAAAAGCTCACGACGCGACGACACTGAGACACTCTCTATCACATTCTTTTGACGGAGCCACCACCGGCCGAACAGAGAAGCGGCTCTCCAACAATTTGTTTTTTTTCTTTCCACGACCGCGGACGACGGAGTTTTGTTCTCGATTCACGTCACCAGGACACCGTTTCGTTTCGACCAACAATCAACTTTTCGGTGCCACGAATATTTACACCTTATCATCAACGTGCGTCATATACGGAATGATGGGCTAAGTACGACCGTATGGACCATAGCGGGCGAAAAGGCCAATCAACACCACAAGCTTCAGCACCATCATTGTCGTCGTCGTAATATAATGTATACTCCCTTTTGACTCCCTCCTTTCGTTTTCATCTATGTAACGATCATAATACTTTTCTGTTAAATATATTTATTTCCCTTTATTCAAATCTTTGGTTTTTTAATGAACCACTGAGTGTATAAAGCCTATAAGCTCCACTGACTTGGCCTTAGGGTCATCACGCAGTGCGGTTTATAGGTCACAAATCAAGTGTTCCCCTTGATTCGTGGGTAGTTTTTTGGACGTCAAAAACCCAAAGTTTTACAGTATATTATGCGATCATCTCATCGATACATACATTGATGAAAATGCAACTTTTCCCCCGTATATTTGGTCATCGTGTTACATATCAGGCAAAAGAACAACAAATACCTGAAATACCAAATACGCAAAAACAAGTATGACAAAAATTAGGACTTTTGTCATCGATGCATGCACACGGGTCATGGTTGTGTTGAAATCGGGGAACTAGTAGTGTGGAACTAATAGCGATGGGCAATTTTAATCGATCTTTTTCGTGCAATGACGATCTTCATGGTCCGATCTTTTAAAAGATCGATTCATTTGTGTGAAGATCGAATCGAATCGTTAATCCGATCTTTCATGCGAATCAAGTTTTTGATTCGATATTTTTTGCGAATTGATTCATTGTTATTTGTTGATACAATTACGAAATACAAATTAGAAGTTATTACACATTTTATATTTTTATCTGCTTTTCACCTAGAGCACAGGCAAATAATACCATCAATTTAGAAAAACCGCAAATAAAGTAAATCGACCTTTATTTCTGATTGTACTTTTCAGTCCGATTTGAATCAATTTAAAATATCGATTCATTTCCAAGAATCGCTCATCACAATGCGAAATTTACTAACCCACAGTTTTGATGGTGGTGTGTGTCGGACGTCGTCGTGACCGTTCCAGGCCCCACTCCAATGATGGATGGATGGATGGAAAACCGGGTTTCGCGTTGACGATTAGTCAGAAAAGCGGCCGTTGATAGCTTTTATGATAAAGACTGCCGCTAGGTCTGCGTTATATAATACAATCCAATAAATAATTTTGTGTTTTATTAATTGAGTTAACAAAATGCTTATAGAAATTAATATATATATAAATTGTTATGAATTAAAATGGTTCTGGAAGTTAATTAATTGAGTCGTAATATTTTAAGTTTTTTGTTTTTAATAAATGAAAATAAATACTTGTGTATTAAAATAAATTATTTTATATATTTTAAATAGAATTTACCGAAAAAAATCATTATTATACACTAATGAAATACTTAAAATATAAAATGTAATAATTAGGGACCAGATTTATATTCATATTTCAACGTTTTCACCTATTAAATGTATATTCAATGCATATTTGTAGTTTTATAGTGCATATTATTAATAGCACATATATTCGTTTCCGTCGTATTTTTACGTTCACAGCCACATAATATCGATAAAATTGCGACCGATTACAGTTTCCGAAAAAATAAGAAATCAATTCCCTCAAGTTGATAAACTCATTTTTAACATCATAAGTTTTTTTAAAAGCTCCATCGCGCACTACACTTTTCCGAAATATGGCCCCTAATCTAACACTTCCACCACAACCAATATTAACGCGTTGGGGTACATGGCTAAACACAGCCTTTTATTATTGTGACAAGTTGGAAATTATTAAATAAATAATTCTTCAATTGAACAGTGATGAAGACTTTATTTCAATTAAAAAATCACAAAATTTGATAAAAGATCCTAATTTTAAATCTAATTTAATTAACATTAAATCAAATTTTGGAATAATTCCGTGCACAATAAAAATTTTAGAATCAAAAGATTACTTGTTATCAGAAGCAATGATCAAAATTAAAAACGCAAAAACCACATTAAAATAATCAAAAAACAAATTGGTGGTATTATAAATGCCAAACTTAAAACCATACTAAAAAAAAAAACCCTGATTATAAAATAATTAAGACAATTTCTAAGATTTTGGAAGGAGAAATAGACGGCAACAATGAACTACTTGAAAAATTATGAAATATTTATTTGCAAGTAATATTACATATATGAAGTACGCTCCTATAAATATTGCTGAGGTCGAGTGAAGTTATTCTGTGTATAAAAATGTACTTACAGATAATCGGAGGAATTTAACGTTTGAACACATTAAGGAACTTCTGATCATCCAATGCAATAAGGTAAAATATGAATTCAATTTTTGTTTTTACTTTTTATTTATGTGGGTATTATTTATACTTTATAGATTGAAGATAAAGAATGTTAAATGGCAACTAAGATGACAAAATATTTTAAAAGTTCTTTTATACCGTATTAATTAATACTTTTTTTACATTTATAATACATTTAACATATTTTTATAGCATATTACAGCATTTTTAGAAGCACATAAATCTGGTCCCTAATAATAATACTTTATTAATTTTGAATCAAATAACATTATACATAATTTAAATTTAATTAATACTATAAAAATAAATGGTTATACTGATGGTATAAAATACTGTTGAATAAAAATAAACTGGAATCTTAATTTTTTAAATTTGCAGAGCTGGAAATGATTCTATG